TTCACTTTTTAGAAAAATATTTGCAGTTCACTCAACCAGGAACACACTGGAGTCCAAGAATTTTAAAGGTAATCTGCAAAAGTATTTTGAAACATTTTCCTTTTCACATTTTTTTTTCTTCGTGTTTAAAGATGGCCTGAAAAATTTTATTAGTCCTGGTCTATATTACAAAGTTAGGGTGACAGAAACTGCCTTGCGTCAACCTCGCTATGGAAATGTCTTCCCTTAAATTTGGCTCCCACCAATGTAAGTGCTTCTCTATGCCAAGTTAGTACTATAGCACCATATCCCCAAGCGGTGCAGAGTCATAATTGACGCAATTAGGTTAATGCAATGTCAGTATAGACACTGCTGCTTGAGTCAACTATTACTGGTTTTCAAGAACTGTCCCACAATGCCCCACACTGACAATACAATCGATACAAGTGCTCCTGGTAAGGAAGCATACCACTGACCTAGGCAGCCAATGTGTACACACACAAGCTATTTAATATCTGAAGTGGCTATATGCGGACATACATTGGCTTGACATTTTGTAGTGTAGACATGGCCTTAATCTTTAAGCTCAAATATCAGAAGTGTTATGGTCTTGCTGGAGAACCTGTGGGAGTTCTCAGGAATGTTTATTATAAGATGTAACACAGCAAGTGAAAGAGCCAGAGTAACAAAGCGTTCATTTATCCAAAATATTAGCCACTGTAGTTAACAACCTGTTAACAAAAATAGTGTCAGAAAATCCCTTTCCCACTTCTTTATCAACTTTCACTCTTTGCTCTTGCGATGCACCCTTTCACTATCTCTCCAGGAATAAGCCTTTTCTGAACTGAAGTATTTTATAAAAGAAGCATTACCACCAATTCAGCTGAAAATATGGTAACATCAGAAGGGTGGGTGGGTGTGAGAGAGCGAAATCCCTGATGTACACAATGGCCACAGTCAGCCTAGACAGGGCTGGAATTTCAAAAGTAGTAACGAGAAGAGAAAGTCTAAAAACCTTTCAGGCTTCTGTCATAAAGCAGCAAAAAAGAAACAAGCTCAAAGTTTGTGCTTCAAAGATGACCTACAAAGAGATATCTTATTGTCATCAATTGCTTTTTCCAGGATCTGTTCTACTGCTTAATACCCATTTTCTTATAACACCGCTTATTTGCCCAACCTTTTAACAAGCACAAATTCTCCCAATTCCTGTAACAAGCTCAAACCCTTGCCTCCAAATCACATGATAAAGGCAAACAGAGCAAATCATTGATCAAGATATAAACATCACAACAAGGATTGCTGTATAGTGGCAATTCCCACCTTACTTGGAAGGAAGCCATTTTAAGAAACCTCAGTGACTACTTTTAATACCTCAAATAGCTATATTGGTACTAAATAAATAAATACAGTGACTAAGAACTATGGGATCTCTTTTTCAGCTTGACATATTGAACCACCTTGGCATCTCAATATATTTCTTCTTAGGACCTCTTACTGAAGACCAATTCAATAGATGCACAGGAAAAGTAGTTTATTATAAGAATGCACTAGAGGTGGGAAAATCTGTTTAAAGTCTGTTGAGACATTTGATTAATTTAAGAGGACACTTAGTTGCTTCTGTCTTTGTATTGTTACAAAATCTAAAGTTACTAAAACTAAAAGATTAGACAAAACTTCTGTCCCATCCTGTCCCTAACAATTTGTATACTCCACATATATGTACACAGTGCTATCAGAGTCAATTTCACTATTTGCCTTGCATAACCAGTTTTCCTTTATTTGTGTAGGGTTCTCAAACAGCAACAGAATAAAACTTAAATTAGGAAAATGATAGAGCAAAAAATATTTGTTAGAGGCGCTCTGGAGCAAGACTAATTTTTAAAGTATGATTTCAAGTTACTAACCCTTTATCGGTGGTTAACGGACAACTTGCCTCAACAAAGCTGAAAGATATCCTGCTTCATTCATTCATTTATATATTTTAAACACACTGTCCCTCACTAGTGTCCTTTGGGCATTAAATGCAGTGTACATCCTCCATTTGAATCAGCTTTTTAATCCTGCTCCTGCACTCTCTCCAAAACTATTAGACTGAAGAAAAAACTTTTCCTGAACAATATTATGGCATCCTTGGTCCCACAGTGCACAAACAGATTATTAGTATTTTAATTTCCTTATTTTAAGAGTAGTTGCCATAAAAACGCATGTAAAAAGTTAATGCTGTCAGTTATAACATTTTCATCTATTTCTTCCCAAATACCAAAAGTCAGTATTCTGTTTTAATGTTAATTTAATCCTTAAACAAGAAAACAGTAGCTTCAAGGTGAAAACTGAAGACTCAATGAATTGAAGATTCTTTCCTAAAAAGTTACCCAAAAATACATAGCCTAATGTTTTCACGTATTCTAAAATACAACTTTAAAATGGTTGATGAAGTGCCAAGTCAATAGTAGATAGCCTTTGTAAATTAAAAAAAAAGTAGTCTTATCCTAAATCCCAACTTTTAAGAACAAATTTCTATATGTTAGCAAGACCTGAAAGTCTATTTTTACTTACCTGCCAAGCCCCAAGTTTAATATTTTGGTTCACTTCAAAGAGCATGGTCCTTAACAAAGGAATCAAACCAGATCAGAAATTGAAAGAAAAATGCCTCTCCTTTGTGTGTTTGTGATGTCATCTGCTGAAAACAATGAACTCTGACCTTGGCAGGTAAAATTTCTACAGACTTGCAAGTTAGACTGAATCAGGTATGTACACTTACAGTGTTCTGAGGTCTTGGACTTGCATTTTGCAGCCCTGGACTAGTGCCAAGCACATACTATAAGGAAGCACGGAGTTTCAAAGTCTGATCTGTTGCACCACAAAAGCTAGAAACTGATGTCCGGATGAGCTTGCCATGCTTGGAAAGCATCTCAGAATCCCAAATTACAGATAAAGGATTCATCTAACTATAATTGTCTCAGATGGCAACTGCTGAAAATCAAGTCAACTGTAAACAGAACAAATTTGGACGCATATCTTGCAGCCCTGGTTTGGCTATGCTAGTCAAAAATGGTTATTTCCAACCACTAACCTTGGACAGGAAAGATTTGAACTCCTGGACATATGACTAATAATAAAAAAGTGTTTATTAAGACAGTGCTTAAAAACTATCCAAGAATGCAGCCCCATTTTGTTAGTCCCTACACTTCAAAAATCTTACAATCTAAATAGACTTCTTGGTACAAAATTACTTTTAAAAATGTGCTAAGGCTCCAAGATATCAGATTAAGTATAGATTATGCATTTGAGAGTTTGTCTTGATTTATACTTGACAAATTGCTCAGACCTCAAGAAGTCTGAGTTCAGGATGCATTTCACTTGTATGCACTGGTGACAAAGCATACCAGGGAGTCACCCAGCTGCATTTTAAATTTAAGTTATATCATCTACGGTTACAGTGGAAACAAGTTTTGGTGGCAAGTTTACCAGAAACTATTTTGGAAGTGTTTTAAGAGTGTCATTTTAATTCAAATCTACACATTCTCCTACTTAAATCAACAGTTTTGAATTTAAGAGTTTTGTTATTCTTGAATGTAAGCAATAAATTAAGACACAGTAACCACATTATGCTCCTGTTAGATAACCAAACTAGTAAGTCAAGCCACCAGACCTCCACAGTAAGAGTGTCAAGTTACTGTAATATTTAAGAAAAAATATGGCAAACCCTAATCACTGTATCCAAAATTGACATTTTCAGTGTATGATTTAACAGCACTATGAGTTTCTGGTTTGTTGGCAAGCTGTAAAGTGATAAAGACAAAAATAATCCATCCAGTCTCAAAATATTTAAAATGCCATAATGCTTGTAAATACAGATCAACACCAATTTAGAGCTTAAGCTATTTATCTTTAATCATACTTGTCATTAAGACCCCAACAGTTTGGGAGCTTGGATGCTGCACTATAACACTAAACCTTTGTTCCACAGGAAGGTCGCAACTGAAATTGAGAAGATTTACAAGTTACCTAAACTCTACCTTCTGCCACTAACCTTCCTCTTTGGAAAGGTTAAGCTTCCATCACCCCAACATTTTTTTTGAGTTAGCTGTAAAGTTACTCCACCCTGCTGGATTGTGCAAGGATGAAATTCTCAATAGATCATCACACAACAGTCTTCCGCCCCCAATAAAGCAAGAGATGAGGTAAAAAGCCATTCCTCTACGACATTATGAAACGGTGGGTTTCCAAGGGGAAGTGGAAATCTAGAGGAATAGGAGCAGCTGCTGCTGTGCAGAGTGAGTTGACGGGAGCGTGGACGTGTGTGTGTGATGTTATTGCAGAAAGCAAGAGACCCGGAAAGAGCCTGAACTAGGCAAACCCGCCGCCATCTTACAATGCGGGAAAGAAGTTACACGCCAGGGAAGAGAAACCAAATCTGGCCGGGAGGCGGATTCCCCCTCGGGAAGGAGCGACCCAGCACTGACTGTCCCTGCGATGTAAATACAGCCACAGCACAGCCGGGGAATCAGTAACAGCAGCAGCGCAAGAGATGGAGGCGAGAAGCCGACACCATCTCCGCGCCGGGTGACACTGACATTTAGAGCCTTTGCCCGGGCCCTCCAGACAACCCACAGCCTCCCCGCGGGGCCACCGCCACCTTCCCGGTGACTGCGACAAAAAGGGCTCCCGGGCGACATCACCCACCCTCCCCACCTCGCCCCGCACAGCAGCCCGGGCCCCGGAAGGAGATCAGGCCCCTGCTCTTCACCGCGAGAGGGGGGGGGGGGAGAAGAAGAGAGAGAAGAGTCATCCGCCCCGGCCGGAGGCCTCCCTCACTCCCCACCCAGAGCCGGGGGCACCGCGCACACACCAGGCAACATCCTCCCCACACCCCCCGTGCGGGACCCAATAACCCCGAGCGACAGCAACACCAACACCACCCCAGAGACTCGCCCCTGCCGGGGCCTGACGCGCAGCCCCGGCGTCGGCGGGGGGGGGGGGGTAAGCAGCGCCGTCTCCCCGGCCCGGCCCTCGCTCACCTTGTTGATGCGTTTGAGCGCCATTGTGTGTGTGTGCGCCGCCGCCGCCCGCCGGGCCTGTCTCTGCGCCGCGGTGACTCCGGGCTCCGCTCGCGCTGAGGGGGGAGGGGGATAGTTGCGTCTCTCCTTCCTCCGGAAACAGCCAGGGGCGCCCGCCCGAACGGAGCGCAGCCGCCCACAGCCTCCTCCCGACGGGCGGGTCCGGCCCCTTCTCCGGAGAGCGCTGCCTGCCGCCGCCTCGGAGAGGACAGACGATGAGCTGAGCTGAGCTGAGCTGAGCCGCCGCCGCCACGGAAGAAATCGAGCTCAGCCCCCTTGCACACCCGCCGCCGGTGGCGAGGCGAGGAAGAAAGGAGGGGACAGCAGGCACCGCCCCCTGCTCCCGGGGGCGGGTCACTGAGGAACCTCGTCTGCACCCCCCCTCACTGGAGCAGGGAGGGACGCGCTAACCGCCGCCGCCGCCTGGGAATCCGCGCACGCGCTACCAAGACTGATGGCAGGGGGGCGGTCGGGGGGCTTCAGACGCGTGCAAGTTGCGCGCACGCGCCTTCTAGTGCTGCGGGGGTGGGGGAATGAAGAGGAGGGGAGGCTCGTGGGGCCTCTCTCACGAGAGTAAGCCCGCACGCGTGCCTGTTCTGGGGAGGGGCAAGAGGCGCCGCTTCTCCAATCAGAATCCCGTCCTTCCCTCTTCGCAGACAATGTGAAACCGGCGCATTAGGCAGGGCCCAGTTTCCCCCTGCGCTTGAGTAGGCGGTTTGTCCGTCGCTTTGCGGGCTACGGAGTAGCCCACACAGCGAAGGCTCTTGCCGGGCCTGCGATTTTCCTGCGTGCCCGGCTCGTGGTCACTCCTTAGTCCCCGCCCCGGGGGTTTGTCTGTGCGTGTACACAAAATGGCCGTCGAGACCGGATCTGCGTTCGTGTTTGGCTCACCTCGTACTGGTATCCCTCCGCTCAGCCGCTGTGAAGGGGAAACAAACCCCGGCGGCGCTAGAGGAGGAGTGGCACGAATGCCCCTCCCCTTCCTGTTTGTATCCCTGGACCCGGGGTGTGTTTCCAGGTCCGTGTACGTCCAGTATAGACGCAGCAGGTTTGTACCTCGGTGGAGTCGAGGTCAGGCCTGTCCCCAGCTGCGTTCACCTGTCCAGTTACACCGGGGTACAGTTACGCTGCCTTGCTTGCTAGGATGGCTGGATGTACAGACACACCTTGGTTAGGGTTGCTAACTTTCTAATTACATAAAACCCAACACCCTTGTTTTGCCCTGAGGTCCTGCCCCTTCTCCGAGGCCCCACCCCTGCTCACTCCATCCCCCATCCGTCCATCTCTCCCCCATCCTCACTCGCTCATTTTCACCAGGAGGGGGTGAGGCTCTGGCTGGGGCTGAGGGGTTTGGGGTGCAGGAGGGGGCTTGGGGCTGAGGGATTCGGCATGTGGGAGGGTGTGCTGAGCTTGGGATGGGGTGCTGGGCATAGGCTCCAGGAGGTGCAGAATGGGGTTCAGGGATGGCGATTTCGGGTACAGGCTCGGGGCTTCCGGGAAGAAGCCAGCATGTCTCTCTGGCTCCTAGGCAGAGGCGTGGTGAGGTGGTGCCAAGCACTGCCCCTGCCCGCAGGCGCTGCTCCTGCAGCCAGCACTCAGGCCGGGGGCAGAACGTGGAGCCCCAGTGGCCACCCCTATGTCTAGGAGCCAGAGGGACATGCCTGCTGCTTCCTGGGAGCTGCACAGAGCTGGGTAAGCCTGCCAGCCCCATGCCAACTGGACTTTTAATGGCCCAGTCAGCAGTGCTGATCAGAGCTACCAGGGTCCCTTTTCAACCAGGTGTCCTGTTCAAAAACCAGGCAGGTGGGAACCCTAACCTTGCTTGCTGTGACAGCAGCTCTGTGGCTCCCAATCCTTGCATAGCCTTAGTCCTTCAGCGGCTCTTAATTCCCACTTCCTGTGGGCCATGTCTGACCCCCTCTCCATACGTGCCACTGTGCTCAGCAATTAAAGAGTTAAAGGTGACATTATTACGCTTTATAATTAGGCCTGGTCCACACTAACCCCCCATTTCGATCTAAGGTACGCAAATTCAGCTACGTTAATAACGTAGCTGAATTTGAAGTACCTTAGTTCGAACTTACCGCGGGTCCAGACGTGGCAGGCAGGCTCCCCCGTCGATGCCGCGTACTCCTCTCGCCGAGCTGGAGTACCGGCGTCGACGGCAAGCACTTCCGGGATCGATCTGGGATCGATTGCTTACCACCAGACCTGGAGGTAAGTGTAGACCTACCCTTAGCTCCTGAATGAGAATAGATGTGGACAAATTGGAGAAAGTCCAGTGAAGAACAACAAAAATGAATAAAGGTCTAGAAAACGTGACCTATGAGGGAAAATTGAAAAAAATGGGTTTGTTTAGTCTGGCGAAGAGAAGATTGAGAGGAGACATGATAACAGTTTTCAAGTACATAAGAGCTTGTTACAAAGAGGAGAGAGAAAAAAATATTCTTAACCTCTGAAGATAGGACAAGATGCAATGGGCTTAAATTGCAGCAAGGTCAGTTTAGTTTCCAATTTGTCGGGGTAGTTAAACACTAGTATAAATTATCTAGGGAGGGTGTGGAATCTCCATAATTTAAGATTTTTAAGAGCAGGTTAGAAAATAGCTGTCAGTGACAGGTTTCAGAGTGGTAGAGCCATGTTAGTCTGTATCAGCAAAAAGAACGAGGAGTCCTTGTGGCACCTTAGAGACTAACAAATGTATTTGGGCATAAGCTTTTGTGGGCTAAAACCCACTTCATCAGATGCATGCAGTGGAACATACAGAAGGAAGATATATATATATACAGAGAACATGAAAAAATGGGGGTTGCCATACCAGTTAATTTAATGGTGTCCAGTTTGCAAATTAATTCCAGTTCTGCAGTTTCTCGTTGGAGTCTGTTTTTGAAGTTTTTTTGTTGAAGAACTGCCACTTTTAGGTCCGTAATTGAGTGTCCAGGGAGGTTGAAGTGTTCTCTGACTGGTTTTTGCGTAGAGACTGTCCAGTTTGGCCAATGTACCTGGCAGAGGGGCATTGCTGGCACATGATGGCATATATCACATTGGTAGATGTACAGGTGAACGAGCCCTTGATGGTGTGGCTGATGTGATTAGGTCCTATTCAAGGGACATACCTATTCAAGGGACACCATCATAGGACCTAATCACATCAGTCACAGCCGCCGCTGCCACCACGCACCACAGAGACCAGGTCAGGCCGGCTCTGCAGCTGTGCTGCCCCAGGAGCTCACAGCCCCACCGCCTGGCGCATTGTGCCGGCGGTGGAGCGAGCGAGCTGAGGCTGCGGGGAAGAAGGGACAGTGGGGGAAGGGCTGGGGGTGAGCCTCCCGGGCCAAGCCGGGCAGGATGGTCCCACGGGCCGTAGTTTGCCCACCCCTGGTCTAGATAATACTTAGTGTTGCAATGAGTTCAGGGGCCTGGACTAGACCTCTCACTGGAGGTCCTTCCAGTCCTACAATTCTATGATGGGAGTTCACATATCAAAGGACTATTATTTCAGGCTGCCTGCAGACCAAGACCAAGGCAGACAACACTTTTGGAAGGCTACCTTTGTTAACCATGAGGACTAGAAACCTTATTAAAAAAACAGTTTAGATTTGGAAGAATCTGACTCTGCCCCTTCATTCACAAATGTGTCAAATGGGCAATGTGTTTGACACCTCTTCTCTGCAGTGAGTGACTTAAGTAAATATTAAGTCCTGATGTCTCCAAGTAACAAAATAGAGCTTGTTTTATGTGATCACAATTTATCTTGGGCTCCTGTATGATCTTCAGAGAATGGGGTCAGCAGAAAGTCAAGTCTCTGGAGAAGGCTAGGTGCATGTTGCACACAGAGGCTCCTCTGAGAATGGAACATGAGGTCCCTTTAGGGTGACCAAACTCCCAATATTAGGGCCTTCATCTTATATAGGCAACTATGCCTCCCTCCAAAAAAGTGTCCCAATTTTTTGTACTTGCTATCTGGTCACCCTAGGGCCCTTGCAGCAAGAGCTGGGAGGATGCTGGGAATGGAATAAGAAGCCATCTGTAGGAGGGCAGGTATGATGCGGAGACTTGGCTTATTTATTTTACAAGAACATCATAATAGTAAAGCCAAAAATACAATTGTATGCCTGCCTCTTTAGGGGGCAGAGCTGTGGCTCAAGCAAATATTTTAAAAAGGGTCTTCACCCTTCCAAGATTTTGAAAATGACACCTACTTCAAGCCTTATGTCCATTTCTGTTCTAGAAATGGGGGGTGATACCTGGATCCACATGCACTTAGAGCCATTCTCTCTGGAATTAACTTGATTATCACACCAAGATCCATGGACTACTCTAAGTCTCCCAGAACACTTTCAATGACCCATGGAGCTGTATCTTTTATCCTGGTGGAGTATCTGGTCTGTTTAAAGGTTTATAGAGCCTTTTTTTATATAGGTAACTCAGAACAAGGCTGCTTTCTAACTTTGAGATGCTTCTATTTGTGTAAATTCAATTATACACCTCTACCCCGATATAACGTGACCCGATATAACACGAATTCGGATATAACACGGTAAAGCAGTGCTCGGGGGGGGGGAGGGGAGAGAGAGGCAGAGCTGTGCTCTCTGGTGGATCAAAGCAAGTTGGATATAACGTGGTTTCACCTATAACATGGTAAGATTTTTAGGCTCCCGAGGACAGCGTTATATCGAGATAGAGGTGTACTTAGATTTTTGAGGCAAGAACCTTATCCCATTTTGGTGAAGTAGCAAACATGTAAGAGGACAAAATCAAACTGCAAACTGACCTGGAAAGATTAGAGAAACGGAGTTTTCAGAAAATTATGGGAGGTTCACTATTAACAACTGTGATGTCCAGGGAAAATAAATAACCAGCATAGATACATAATTGAGGAGCATAACCAAACAACCATATCCATTTCAGTGATTTCAGTTTGTTTTCATTATGTTGTCTTTAGTATTGCTCTGATATTACTTTTCTGTTTACACAAGGAGTCTAGTTGCTGCAGAAGAGGTGTGGGAACAGGAGGGGAAGTGTCCACAAGAAAATCTCAGTCTTTAAAAATGTTTCCCAATATAAAAAAGTTTGAGAAGAACTGGGTTATAGGGTAAACACATTGAAAACAATATTCTGCCTTATAAAATTAAATGTTTTTTAATATGGGACTGATATGTCGCTGTTAAGGGATTTTAGCAAGTGTGGCCCTAGGGAAAAAAAAGATGTTTTTCTATGTGATAAATTTGATCCATTCCTAGCATCATCTTTGCTCCTATTCCTTTTGTTACCCAGCCTCTTGCATCAGCACTATACCATATAATCATTATTACTGTATTCCACAGATGTGGTCCAAACCACATCTTTCATTAGTGTCTCTACAATGTTTTGGGCCATTACTATAGAATACCTTACTGTTACTTATAGCTTGTTGTAATCCTGAAAGTGAATAATTTTGGAGAAATCAGTAAAATTCCAACCATCCATTTTTGAAA